TATAGTCCCATGCTAACTGCCTGCCACCCTTCCACGGACGCAGTGTGATTCCGTCTGGTCGGCCGGCAAAGCTAACAGAGTCACGGTTCAGTAGGTTGCGGGGCTCTCTCTCCGCTGGACACTGAGCAGAGGCAAGGCTTCTTTTAATGATGTCGTTGACTTCGTCGTGTCTAGTGTGCCAACCACCCGATTTTCCACAGTGCAGGCCATGCAATCCAATCCATATTCGTCAGCATCTGCCTCGCCGCAAATACACCTGTGAACAGTGTGGATAGGGGCAGCAAGGCGGAGAGCGACTGCAATACGGAGCTCCTGCGGATCAAGACGTGTGCCTGTCGCAGACATAGGGACTGCCAGAAGGAAGTCCCCTGCATGGGGAGCCTGCACAGCTGTGAGGCGTGCACGATCACTGGGGGTTGTTGCTGCCTCCAGCAAAGCTGTGGCTTCTTTGTCTACAATGGGGCTGTCCCAACTGGATTGTTTCTTGGCTTTCGGCATGGCTGGTCTGAGTGCTGGGTCTGTCATGGCACCCCATTTCGTGTCACATTCCGTGTAGTGGGGGTCCTGTATCCCCGCTACATCACTCAGGGTGTCAGGTAGAATTTCCTTAACCAGGTCATCTGATGCTGAGGAGGAAGACAGGAAGGCTGGGACTGCAATTTGGGTGGCGGTGCGGACACCCAAGCCACCGAGCCTGACAGGAAGAGTGGCTTGTTTCCACTGGCATTCGTTGAGAGAGAGGTTAACAACTTTTTCCAGCATGGTCTTCAGTAGGAGGTCATACTCGTCAAGCTTTGGGTTGTTGTAAGATGGGGCGCACCTCAGAAAGTAGGTTAGCCTCGGAAGGGATAGGCATTTGGTGAGGAGATAAAAAGCATCGTGGGCATCGATGTCACCTATTCTGTCTTCCATCCTCCTAAGGTCTGCGATTTTCTTGTCGAGGATCTCCTCAATGGCGTTAGACCCGAGGGGAGCTCCAAGGAGGGTGCTGTTCTCGGCCCTAATGACATGGGCTCCAGGCAAGGCAGACCTTATTCTAGCTACGATGTCTGGGTTGGAGGAGACTACTTCACACTTGGAAGGGTTCAGGACGAGACCCAGGCTTACTTCTTGCTCCCTTATTTTCCTGATATCTGACAAGAGGTGGTCTACGGTGCCAGCTATAGTGCCATCATCCAAAAACCAGATGTTGAACTCGCTGGACAAGCTTTCGGTGATTTCTTTTAAGACTAAGCAGAAAAGAAGGGGAGCAAGAGGATCACCTTGCTGAACACCTTCACATGATCTGATTTCATGTTCACCAAAGAGCAGTTTTGACTCGCCACTGTAGCACGATAGTATGAACGGGTAGAGGGGCCGGAAATGGCGATGTACGGCACAAAGTACTGCATCTCTTCTTACCATGTTGAAGGCATTCTTAAAGTCCAGTTTGAGCAGGGCCTTTTCATCAGAAATGTTTGTGATGTATGCTCGTGCTGCATGGGCAGCCGCTTCACAGCCTTGGGGGATTCCAAATCCTAGCTGGATTGGTTTCAGCAATTCAGCCGCTTGCTGGCTGACAACCCTCGTAGCAGCCTTGGCAATCAGGCGTCGGAGAGTGTTGCCAACAGCGATTGGCCTGATTCCTTCGTCCTTCTTTTTGAGAGCACAGAGGGAGGCACCAAAAAAGAGAGGCCTGATGACCTCAGGTATCTCACCAGCCAGACACATGTTGACGAACCTTGTGAGTTCCATAAGAAGATCTTGTGCAGCATCACCAACCGCAGGATTTAACATTTGCTTGATATGTTGAGGTTTTAACCCTGTAAAGCCGCCTGCTGACCCAGGTGGAAAAGAAAGGGCTGCTTTGTAGACCTCAGATTCACCAACTGTTAATGGGTCTGAAATGGTGTCGGCTGATGGCGGCGGAACGATGTTGTCGCCTTGAGGGGCTCTGGGTGGGTGCTTGCTTTGCAGGGCCCGTGCTGTGGCTGAGTTTCGAGGAGCAATTTTCTCGTCACTGGTGAGGACTCTAATAGCACTTGCGGTATTTCCCTCTTCAATTTTCTTGGTGATTTGTGCTCTGATTTTGTACGTTTCCGGTATGTTGTTGTTACCATTTCTGCGGTGGGTGTGTTTTGCTCGGAGAGGCAGGCGAACTAGGTTGTCCCCCTTGGGTATTCATTTATCGCCCTCAGGACCGAGGAAGCAAGTGATTTGTCCCTCCTTGGAGGGACGGTGAGGCATACATTGCCAAACAGAAGGACATTATGCCACGCTTGAATGTTTTCCGGTGCATCATTGACCCTTTTCAGAAGATTACAAAGTTTGGCTGCTGCATTTGGGCGGGCTGCTTTTGGGATGTGTGGTAATGTTCTAGCAGACGTCGCTATGATCGCTTGGGTGAGGTTCTCAGATGAGATTAGGTTAATGGGAGTCTCTTCCCTAACTGTTAATGGCAGCTGGCCATTGCTTCCCTTCGGAAGCTGGTGGGAACCACTGCATCTTTCCTCGTTGAAGGTGTGAAAGCGGATAACACCACCGATGGAGTTTATGGCGGTGTTTTTGTTGCATACTCGGCAAAAACCTCTTTTAGGAGCAGTTGTTGGCACCTCAAGGCTTGTGGAGTCCTGCCCGACCGCTGGGACCCCTTCCATTTCAACTCGGTTGGCCGAGTTAAACTGTGCATTATTCTATAGAGGGGGGCAAACACACTGGGTCATGGCCAAGCAACTGGGTGTGGAGCCAACAACTGGGTGTGGAGCCAGCAACTGGGTGTGGAGGCATCAACTGGGTGTGGAGCCAGCAACTGGGTGTGGAGGCATCAACTGGGTGTGGAGCCAGCAACTGGGTGTGGAGCCAGCAACTGGGTGTGGAGGCCGCGGCTGGGTGTGGAGGCATCAACTGGGTGTGGAGGCATCAGCTGGGTGTGGCGGCATCAGCTGGGTGTGGAGGCATCAGCTGGGTATATATATATATATATATATATATATATATATATATATATATATATATATATATATATATATATATATATATATATATTATAAACTATAAACTGTAGCAATGCTACGGTTTACAGAGAACACACACACACACACACACAAATATATAACAATTAAACAATCAGCGTTCGAAGGCCTCGTCCAGCTCCTCGGAGGTTGGGTGCGTACCCAGGATACAGCACGCATTTTCCCTCTGAACTGCGACACTGCAGCCCGTCCTCCAAAAATGGGGTGGTAAATGTAAGAAGACAAAAAAGTGCAATTATGTACTATTCATAGCAGTTAGAAATTGTACTTTTTTCACTTAGTATTAAATCGTAGTCAAATATATTGTGAATATTTGAGTTTCCCTGAAAAACTGAATAGAAAACCACAACCTCACCTAACCGTCTTAGTTTTTAAAGATAATAATTTTATTGTTTAATAAAAGAACAAAAGTGGCTGGAATGGTGTTCACACCTGAATGAGTAAAGAGGCAAAACAGATTGAGATCAAACTCAACCCCTCAAAGTCAAAGGCCATGCCCATAAAAATAGCCAAGACCAACATCCAACTCACAGTACAGGGTCAACCAATTGAATGGGTGGACACCTATCAGTATCTAGGAATAATCCTGGACACACACATGAGTTTTAATGCTGAGGCCACTTACTTGAGAGAGCGAACTGCGGCCCGGACGGCAATCCTCAGGTCGCTAACCTCCCTCTCTGGAGGAGCCAATCTGCAAGTCCTTCGCACATACTATGTACAGGCAGTCAGATCAGTGATCGATTATGCCGCACCTGTACTCACAAATCTATCACACCAACAGTGGAAAAAGCTTGAAGTTGCCCAAAACAATGCTATGAGAGCCGCACTGGGAGTCCCCATGTGGACCAGGCTTGAAACTCTTAGACTGGAGACGGGTTTGGCCTCTCTACAAGAAAGAATATCACAAAGGACAGCTACATTTATCAGTAAGATAATTATTTCTTCTGATCCAATCCCAGTACGGCAGGCCTTGGTGGTTGGACTAGGCCAAAACAATGGAAACTCTTGGGCTGCAAGAGCAGGAAAAGTCCTAAACGGACTTCATTTAAAAAGTATGATTCTTGATAGAGAGGGTGATCATCCACACCCAAATTACACTTCTTCCGCACCGTGGGAAGAGCCTACTTTCAAAATAGTAATAGAAAATCACCCAATGAAAAAGGCTGCCTATGATCCGACAATCCTAAGGCGCATAATAGAAGAGCAAATGTATATCATAGCAGTAGCAGGAGCCACCCACATCTTCACAGACGGATCGGTGGACACAGAATATGAGAGTGCTGGCGCTGCTCTTTGCACGGCCAGCGTACAGGCATATTGGAGACGGGCAGGACTAGTATCATAAACCCAAACTGAGCTGTTTGCCATACAACAGGCATTCGCATATGTGATTGCACAAAACACTCACAATGCAATCATACACACAGACTCAAAAGCTGCACTTCAAATACTAGGACAAAAACAGTGGAAAGGTAACGTGGAAATAATTACCACCATTTTGTATCTTGGAGCAGTCGCTAAAGGCAAAGGACTCAACATAACCTTAAACTGGATCCCATCCCATGTTGGAATCCCATTAAATGAGAAAGCTGATGAAATTGCTAAATTGGCAACTCGTCATCCAGTGATACATAAAACAATTCAACCCAGCCTAGAGAACATAAAAAAACATCATCACCAAAAAACTCTCACATCTCAACAAAGCCTACCTACACCAGAGAATAGCTGCAACATGGTATCTTCAGGCAACCAAATTAGAAAGGTTAAATATCCCAAAAGGAATTCACAGGGAAATAGCAGTTAGGTTATATGGACTACGTCTAGGTTACAGATGCAACTGGGAGATTGGTGAACCCCGACAGAGAGAGTGCATCTTCTTCCAAACTGTCACAGAAAAGCCATTACTTCACTATCTTCTGGAATGTGAAGCATATGTAATAATATTATTACATATTACATATGTAATAATAATTCAAATTTTCTTACCATCCAGGGCCAATTGTTCTTAAGAGCGATCACCCCACCAATCGCCTCCTCAGCCGTGATCTCAACAATCGTTCCATTGCTGAGTGCAACATGTTGTACAATCGTCCTGGACTCATCCACAGGAGGGATGCCTGGCCTCCGCGGTGGCGTTGCTCCTCTTGCAACCACAGCCGTCTCCACTCCTGCACCGTCCGTAGACCCCTGCCGGAGGCTACGAACCTCGCCGATGGGTTCCGTGACAAGGTTGAAAGTCTGAAAGACGTTCTGTCCACATTCTGCAATGGAACGTCACGGCATATATACAAGTAATGTATACATACATAGATAAATACTGTGCGTATTATTGCCTTTAGGCATAGTAAATACTAGCTCTATCTAGAAATGAAACATTCTGTTTGTTTCTCATTTTGTATGTATGTACTTTTACCTGAATAAATTATTATTATTGGTATTAGTATTATTTTACCTCGCTTCTCTGTATATATACTCCGAGAGTTTACTTTTGGCTTGAACTATGTTCAGGACTGATATATACTAGCTCTGTTGGTCAGTGAGGGCTAATGGTGACCTTAATGACTCTTGATAGGTTGATTTGCATTAATAAACCTTCAGAGGTTTATTGGTTTTAATAGAGATTTTTTATGTTGATAGGCCCTAATGATGTTGATAGGTCTTTTTGAAGTTGATAGGCCTCTTTATATTGATAGACCTCTTGAGCTTTATAGGCCTTAATAATCTGTCAGAGATTTATAGGCATAAATAAGCCTCGAAATGTTTATATGCCTTAATAATCTTTCAGAGGCTTATAATATAATATAACATAATATAATATAATATAATATATTGATATTTATATTATAGAAGTTAATAACTTCTCAAAGATTGATAGGCCTTAATAACCCTCCAAAGGTTGATAGAATTTAACAGCTCTCAAGATGTTGACAGGCTGTAACAACCCTGCAGAGGATAACCTTCAAATAACCTACAAAGGCTGATAGACTTTAAGCCCAAAACCAATCCATACAGTAAAATGTTGTCAATTCAGCATTATCAAAAATACACTTAGTTTTTAGAGCAGTTTTGGCGCAGTTCCTTTGACATCGAACTCACGTTCTGGGTCAACCCAGAACCATGCATTACCAACTAAACCACGATGGGGGTATGTTTGGAGGGAATCAGGACGTAAGTTCGAAAATCCCATTGTCCTGTTCTAAAAAATATCTCATAGATTTATCAAACTATTGCGACTTCATTTTGCACGTAATTTGTACATGTAATTTCTTACAATCATTACATAAGTTTAATAAGTTAACGTCCTAAGATACGACGTGTTTGTGTTGCACATCTTAAGACAATACAACAACAGATGCATAAGAAGATAAGATAATTACCAGGAGAAAGAACTAAACCTACTTTCATGTACTATAGGTCAATATAGCATATGAAAGGGATATGGACACAGGATAGGAATTGAAATATGAGGAAAGGATAGGAACTGGGAAGGCGTATGAGTAGTGGAATAAGGCACTATGTCCGTCCATTTTGTTTTTTCAATGTAGGGGCATAGTGCCTCGGGTGTTCCAATATTTCTGCCATGGACGGTCACAGGGCCAGGGTCTTCTAGTTCCCTTTAAATTTCGCTCATGGGGTATTAAAAAGCCGCTCTATGGTCCAGGTGTTTTCTGTTACCCCAGCAACCAGCACAGGTGCATTCATCTTCCCACATTAAGCCTGTTTTCCATAATGACCAATTTCCATACTGTTTCCCATTTTCTAAGATCATTTTTTAGCTAAGATTACATATCGATCATAAGAAATGAAATTGCACAAGGCCTTTGTCGGATCTCCTATTTACTTCCAATCAATGTTAACCAAAAACATCAACTAGCACTATTAGATGAACTGCAGTAGGTCTATTCCCTATTAACATCACCTTTCGTCTATATTTATACACTTCAATAATGTCACTATTAATATTCAAAAGGACCTATTTGTCCCCCTTACTCATCTGGAAGCTTAATATTATTAGTGTCCAGCCAAAGATCGTTTATTGAGCATAGGAATGGATGAAATTTTCTATCTCCCATTCGTATGAAACAAAGGGGAGCAACACAGAGCATAAACGAACATGTAACGAACATCACAGAAAAATGTGAAAAAGTCAAATTTTTCTTCATTGTATCTAAGAGTTCTTAGAGTTGTGAGTCCAGAATTGAATTCTTAGATGAAGAGTTTAAGAATATTGATTCGATTGGTTTCAAGCTTTGTTACCCACTGAGTTTTTTGGAAGTTTGCCGTAGCAAAGCATGTCGTACATATTATAATAATATATGCAGTGAAAGAATTCGCCCAAAGAATGTGTTATGTTTGCCATATTTCCCTGGGTTTGAGAATATTGTCAAGGCCTTGAAACTTTTTAATATACATGTATTGTTTAGCTACGAAAATACTGTTGGTAAGCTAGTAGTTAGGAACAGCCCTCGTAGTGATAATTATGTCATTTATAAAATACCTTGTAAAGACTGTAATAAGTTCTATGTTGGGCAAACATCTAAAGATTTGAAATGTAGAATTTCGCAACATAAATACTCTGTAAGACATGGCCAATTGTCTAATGCTTTGTTTGTTCATCTGTCAGAAGATGCTCACCAAATTGATTGGGAGATGACTTCTTCAATAACGAATTGTAAAAGCACTTATAACAGAAACATAATTGAATCTGCTTTGATACAGATTACAAAAGACAGTAATTTGAACATTAGCAGTGGTTTATATAACTTAGATCCATTTTTGATAGATCAATTAAAGGGCGATTTGAGTAGGATCATTGGAACACATTTGTCTCACTAATTCATTGTAAATATTTACTATCTTATGCTATTATAATCCATGTATGGGCCTGTTGGTGGGTGAGCTGCATCGTATGGGCAAATAGGCCTTCAGCATTTCTTGTGCGGCTCATATTTGTGTCCACCTAATTCCCATTCATTTGTTATTGTACCTCACCTCACGCCACCATTCTCTCCTGCCTATTTATGTCCAATACTTGACCTGTAAAATCACTCCTTCTGAAGATGTATTAATATACGAAAGTACTTAAGGAAATTCCTGTTTCAATTTTCCTCCGTGGTCTGACACTGGGAGAAAATAGAGAATTATTAGCTGAATATCAAATAAATGGATTTAAACTATTTCACACAGATAGATATATATGACGAGGAGGGGGGAGTAGCCATGTATGTTAGGGAAAATTTGAAATGTAGTCTCAAAGAGGGAATCAAAACTGAGCCACACACAGAAACTATTTGGAAAGAATTAAATGAAAAAGCAAATAATCTTATAATAGGAGTTATATACAGGCCACCAAACTTAGACAGGATGGAAGCAAAACACTTATGGGACGAAAAATCTAGAGCATCTAGGTCTAGCAGTATTTGTGTCATGGGTGACTATAATTTTAGTGGAATAAATTGGTTTAACAGAACAGGGAATAATGAAGAAGAAGATTTTCTAGTATTAATTGACGATTGCTTTCTTACGCAACACATTAAGGAACCAACGCGGGAAAATAATATTTTAGATTTAGTGTTAACTAACAGGGAAACACAAATTAATTACATCGAAATAGGGAGTGAGCTAGGGAACAGTGATTACAAAGAAATCAGATTTAGCATAGAATGGAACAGATCTGCAGGAGAAAATTCTGTTAAAATGCCTGATTTCAGAAAAGTTGATTTCAATAGCCCAAGATTTTTTTGGGGTCAAATAGATTGGAAAGTCTTGGGCATGGGGGTGGGCCGATCTTGGAGCGAGACGTGAACCCAGCGATAGATGACGTAAAAAGGGATATCGATTTGGATTCAAAATATAGCTTATTTAAAAATATTCTAAGCAAAGCACAGGAACGTAGTATACCATACAAATTGAATAGATCAAATACTAATGACCAAAAGTGGATGACAAAGGGTCTGAAGAACCTTATAGATAAAAAAAGAGCGTGATACAAAAGAATTAAGAATGGGGAAGTCAGTTTAGAACAGGAATTCGTACAACTGGTTAGAAATGTTAAAAAAAAGAGATAAGGAAAGTGTTACGACCCTGGGTTCTTATTTGGAAACCAGAGGTCAATTTGACTTCTTAAAATAATATTTATACATGAATTGATAGGATGGGATCATGTGAGAAGGATATTTAATTAACAATAACATTTACATTCATGGTTCCTTAAATCCTGGGTATGTTTTTGTTTCCGTCTCCCTTGCCAGATGTAAGACGAATCTTAGTTCTCAGAGCAGGCAGACTCTGTGCTTGTTGATTATTAAATATAATATAAAGCCAATTGCTAGCTATTATTAGAACTGGTAAAGTAACAATGAAATGAATGTCTCTGAACACTTGTAATGATTGCTGCCGTACGATCAGTTGAGTATTGTGCGGCAACAATCATTGTAGGCTGGGAGAGCGACTTCATGGGCCTTCTCTGGCTAGCTGTGGTAATAGGCAGTCCTACGTCCTTGTGGGCTGTTCCTCCTTCTCCTCCTCTCTTCCCTTACCTTATTCTGTGTTCCAGTTATACCCAGTTAAGTACCTTATTATACTATTACCGTGCTATTAGCTAGGTGTGTGTTCATTTATTTGTGTAATCCAAGCCAGTGTTTTGGATCCCTAAGTGTTACTCTAGGGTTGCCAGAGAGACCACATGTGCTTAAGTCTGTGATGCCTTGATACAAGTGTCCCTTCAGGAGAAGTAGTCTTCACCCTAGTTTGCAGTTGTAAACCTTGCATCCTGCTTATGTGGACCAAGGAGTTTAAAGTAAGGTAGAGTGGTAAAGTGAATTTATTGTATTTTGTATATGGGGGTTATTAGGGAGTTTAATAAATAAGGCTAGAGTTTCAGGAGTCTCCTTTCATCCTGTTTGAAGTGGAATAGATGATTAACCATAGACGACAGACTTCTACTTATAAGCAAGTATTCATTGCTGGGAATATTCTTCCTTGGGGGCCGGGCCTATCCAATTTCCACTATTTTAGGAACTCCTTGACTTTAGCTTTTGGCCCTTCTCGGGGACACTAAAAAACCCAGAAATCATCTCAAGATAACCTCAAGATATGGTCCTATGACCATCCATGGCAGAAATATTGAAACACCCCAGACCCTATGCCTGTCCGTTGAAAAAAAAAATTGAAAATACCGCCGGCCCTATGGCCGTCCATGGCAGAAATATTGAAACAACTGAGGTACTATGCCTGTCCATTGAAAAAAACAAAATGGATGGACATACTGCCTTATTCCACTACTCATATGGAGTTGTCGCCAACCACTTGGACAATTGGGAATTGAACGCCGACCTGCAAGAAGCGAGTCAGTCTCTGTACCGACCAGTCCAAGTCGGTGGAGAAAAATTATTCACGAGGAATTCACTTACGAAAGTTGACAATGGGGGGAGAGATGTCTAGTATTCTTCCAGGGCTGGTACCTGCAAGGTAAGAACTGAATTATGTATTGCTTCTTTTCATTACAGTGATATAGCAATCTATTACAACTGTAGTTGCAAAGAAATAGACGGTCAGAGGTCAATATAGGTCAAAGCTTCTTTGTATTTAGCATAAATAACATTATTCGTAAAAGAAATTAAAACTCATTATGCTTTTTTGCTGGAGTGAACATATGTTAAGCTGTGAACGACTTACAGCTTGCAATTCGAGTAGAGAGGCTTATAGTGGCATAATATAAAGCCTGAAATTTGCCTTAGCAAAATGCAATTTGAAGAATAACTCATACTAATTGAGAAAAATGTTGAAGCTATACAATGGGATCGAACCCTCATCTCAGGATGTCTCAGGTACATAGTTTTCATGGATGTGGGTTCGATCCCATTGACAGCTTCAATGTTTTTCACATAAATATTGTAAGTTCTTGTGATTTCTCTCCAGGTAAACAGAGACTTGCCAGGAGCAGCGAGGCAGCAGATGAGTGTATCGATCGAGCAGGGCGGAGGACGTATTCGATGGAAGGTCCTGATAGCGCTCGGACACTGGCGAATGTCCACACACCTGCCTCGGACACCTGTAGGCGATTTGCAGCTGCCAGACCCTGAGGAATGGTACACCAGTTAAGGTAAACCCAAACAATACGGTGTCACAAGAATCTCCTTAGGAAAGGAGATTGGGCCTCTTCTTGGCCTATTCAACAATAACATGTCTGCATATTCAACAACAACAAAATCATGTTCTCAGGAGCCATGTCTAGACAAGCCCATGTATATATACAACTAACATGGACAAGCCCATGTATATATACAACTAACATGGACAAGCCCATGTATATATACAACTAACATGGACAAGCCCATGTATATATAGAAGTCAGAAGCCACTTCACAGCAGAATACTTTCAGTGCTTCAAGCTGCTATATCTGCTTTCACGCTCCCCTGGGTGGTGGTAGATTTACGCAGCCTATGTACATAGTATTCCAGCACCATTTATTTTTATCTTAACATAACGTTCACTTGTCTGCTTGTTTTTACATTTTTGCACTGTGTATTTAAGCCAACTCATTGAGAAGCTTTTTTTTGTAAATTGCAAGTCTTTTTTGTTATATTAAAATATTAAAGTTTTTAATTCTTTGAACTTTATCCTGCAGCTACCACACCGTAAAGAGATCTACAGCAGTTTTATTTACTTTTTATTTTTATTTAATATGATTGGCATTCCAGCTGCCCGAATAGCTACTGCTCTATTCGTCATTTTTCGTCACATTAGAGTGGGGGCCTGTCCGGGAGCCTTGCTCAGGTAATGCTCGTAGACTCTACTTAAAGTTGTGGTAGTTGTACTTGGCTTTAACACATTTTTACATTCCAGGTGTAGCAATTTATGACTGTTGATTTTACTTAGGATTACGTGGGTGTTTTATGGGCAAATTCATACTCGTAATTGGTTGTCTAATAATCTTTGCTATATCCTGTGATTTCCTCCTTATTCTCGTCCTTACAGGAAAGTTTCTCACTATGGCAGATCACTCCTTTGGTACCCTGGTACTCTGGTCTGTCTCTGGGCTAATACACCTATTCTTTGCAACCCGAATTTAGGAGGAAACAGTAGACCATAGTTCCTCTCGCATTTAGGACTAAGCTGTACGGTTGGGACCCATACAGCAGTTCTCGTCATAAATCGACACGCTCTGCACCCCTAAGCTTCGGTCAGAGAATATGGTTCTTACACAGGTAGGGAGTTACCATTCTTTTCCAGGGCACAAAGAGTGATAACTCTGTAAGTACCATCTAGTTTTAGTAGGACACCTCTTACCCTTGTTCTCGTCATTTAGAGATCGGGTAAGAAATCCCTACATTTTTTGGACTACCTTTGAAACAATTTTGTTTCACCATTCAAGTAGGACCCCTCTTGTCCTTATCCTCGACATATAGAGTACCGGGTACAAGAATCCCTATGTTCTCAAAACATTTCGTTTCACCCTCTGATCTAAGTAATCAAATTACTTAGATGTAGCAGCTCCAAGCTGCTACATCTGCTTTCATGCTCCCCTGGGTGGTGGTAGATTTATGCAGCCTATGTACATTGTATTCCAGCACCATTTATTTTTATCTTAACGTAACGTTCACTTGTCTGTTTGTTTTTACATTTTTGCACTGTGTATTTAAGCCAAATCATTGACAAGTTTATTTTGTAAATTGTTAGTCTTTCTTGTTACATTAAAATATTAAAGTTTTTCATTCTTTGTACGTTATCCTGCAGCTACCACACCGTAAAGAGATCTATAGCAGTTTTATTTACTTTTTGTATTTAATGTGATAGGCATTCCAGCTGCCCAAATAGCTATTTGTCATTCTTCCGTCACATTAAAGTGGTAGCCTGTCTGGGAGCCAGGAAGCAGAAGCTAAACTCCCGGTATGTTTCAATCTTACTCATGCAATTAAGTTGATGCCATCTTTTGTCGAGACTAAGGTAGATGTATTCTTTATTTCATTTGAAGGTCTAGCTAACCAACACAGCTGGCCTCAAGATCAGTGGTCTGTACTTCTCAAGTCTCATTTGACAGGTAGAGGTGCCGTAACCCTCAGTATTATGCCTTCAGAAATGGACTACAAGGTATTGAAACAGGCAGTGCTTGATGCCTACTCCTATCCATAGAGAATTATAGACGTAAGTTTAGGGACTACCTTAAAACCAGTGCTAATACTTATCTAGAGTTCGCTAACAATAAGAAAAGACATTTTATGAAGTGGCTGGAAGCAGCCCAAGTCACCTTCTTTCCAGATTTCATCAACCTCATCTTGGTGGAAGAATTCCTTCATTGTGTTCTACTCCTATACGTCTCTACATTGCAGACAAGGAAGAAACTAACTTTACTAGATGTGCGCAGTTGGCTGCTCCTACACAGTCTCATTCACAGAGTACCATCCGACACATCTCCTAGTAAGGCATCTTGGTCTAGTTCTGCAAAAGTGAGTACTAGTAATGTGAACTTCTCATTGTATTGCCGATACTACAAAATCTATGGACATACCATAGAAAAGTGTGCTAAGTCCCAAAGCAAGAGCACCAGTGAAACCCCGCAAACCCAAATCGACTCCTACAAAAACAAGTAAGCCTGTTATGAATATCCATGTTTTATCCACTGATCGTTCTCTCTTCAACAGACACCTATACCCCAGAACTGTCTCTGCCAGCGGTGGAGATTCGGAGGGAAGGTTCAAAGTGAATATCTTGAGGGACACAGCTGCTCTACTATCGATACTTCTCAAGTCAGCTGTACCCAACATCACCAACACCGGAGAGACCATCCTCATCACAGACCTCACTGCAGCTACTCCATATCCACTCGCCAGACTCTGCCTGGATTGTTCGTTCATTCAGGGCGTAGCCCAAGTCATTATCCTGGAAAAGCCTTTCCCCATGCCAGGAGTTCAACTTCTCCTGGGAAACGACTTGGCAGAAGACCAACAACTCACGAACCTCATCATCACAGAAAAACCTCAGGTATGTGACTCGTCTGTGGAAGATCTTATCATGAAATTTGTTGCAGAGGAGGTTCAACCAACTGACGATTCTGAGGACATCTCCCATCCTGTCATTGTGACGACACGTGCACAAGACGCACACCCGCAACCAGCTGCTCCAGCTGTCCCTCAAGATTCTCAGGGCTTTCCACCGAATCTCAACAGGTTGGAGTACCGTAAGTTGCAGAGAGAGGATCAATCCTTAACATCTTTATTCTTTCAGACTGAGACACAATCTGACTGTATCCTTTTTTTTTGCAGAGAATCAAGTGCTCTACCGCCTCTATAGACCCAGTAAATTGAAGGAGGACGACGATTGACCTAATGTCAACCAACTGGTAGTTCCCACCAGCCTATGGCCATATATCTTACGTCTGGCCCATGGCCCACTTTCACACTACGGCTTTAACAAGACCTACAACGCCCTGATACAGGACTACTACTGGCCAGGTATGGTTAGAGATGTAAAAACCTTTGTGAATACTTGCCAAACGTGTCAGATGGCAGGAAAACCGAACATTCCTATACCCAAGGCACCTCTGATTCCAATCACAGTGCCTATGCATATTGACGCATACGTATCAACTCTCTTTTATAGTTACTCAAACTCATTAAATATTTGCCTAACCTACGCTTGAAACAAGAGAAAAGTGTTAAACATAACAACACTAAACTACAGGCCGGTGACAATGACGACAATCCCCATCTAGATCCTAGAAAACAATTAGAAATATACTTGAGAAATACCTACAGAGGATGAACTCCCCACCAGATAAACAACGTTATTTTTTTGGAAGGGGAAATCCTATCCAACCACTTGGGCTGACCGGTACAGCGACAGCCTCAATTCTAGCAGGTCACTATTCTGAAACGTCACCATTGTAGAAAACTCTGCCGTTGTAACGTATCAGAAATTGGAAAAAGACAGGAAAACTTCTCATAGAGTGAGGGAAGTAGAGAGGTGGAAAGAAGGGGTCAGGAA